AAAACAAATACAAAACCATGTTTCTAGCATTCGTGGTTGGTGAGTTATAAGCTTTTAAAGGCAAGCAACTCTACTTGTGTTTCTTTTGTAAGCCACTGTATATTTTTAGGATTTTTGTGATTGGTAAAAAGAGGGAAAGGTGATCTTACAATAATAAAAGTTTTTATAATTTTTTCTAAATCAGATTTTAGAATAGGTTAGGTAATTATTAAAAATGTTTTATAATTATATTTACATTTTTTAATAATAAAATATTATTAAAAAAGAGCTTGCAATATGCTAATAGTTAATTAGAATTTAGTTATAAGTAAAGTTACTATTTTAAATTACTAAAAATTAGTTTTAGTTAAATAAAACTAATTTTGATAGTTTTAACTATTAATTAAACTAGTTTCAATAAGTCTAAACTCAAAATTTTAGTTTCAAATTGTAATACTAGTTATAAGAAAGTAGAGGATTTTAATTTTTTTTTAATTTCTTATTGAATAAAGTTATTTAATTAATTTTTATTTTTTCCATATAAATAAATAACACTATTTAATTGAATTGTGAATAATCATTTATAAATTCATTTTTATTTCATTTGGTTTAATAGATTGATCTGTATATAATATGATTTTAGGTTAGATTAAATCAGTTATATCTAAATTTATTTGACTTATCTAAAAAGAATTTTTTTTTGTTTTACTAATTTAACAGTATTTATTTTTAAATGAAAATAATTCTATTCAATTATAAAAGTAAATACAATTATTAATTTTGTTTGATAAAATTGTATATGATAAGTTTGCAAATCATATGATTATTAATATAATTATAAAAAACATTCATAATTTTACAATCATTATTCATATAATTATAAAAATTTATATACACATATTTTTGAATCTGTTAAACAACTTTACATATATGATTAAATTGATTTCCTTTGATTAAAATAATTAAATTGCTCTTTGAAGTTACTGTATAAATAAAAATAAAAGTAAAATTTTCATAAGATAATATAATTACAAAAATATGTATAATGTTACATTATTAATCCAATCATAATAAAATTTATACTCACATATTTTCAAATTTGCTGAATAACTTTACTTATATAACCAAAGTTAACTTTCTTTAACCAAAAGACTCTAATAGCTTTTTAAATTTATCAAAAAGATAATTTGTTAGTCAATATAATTGCAATAAATATCTATAATTTAAAATTTAACTTTTTGATTATAATAAATTACAAAGTAATTATACAAAAACTTTATTAGAATATAAAAAAAAGTATGTAAATAAAATTAAAAATGTTTTAAAAAAATAGATTAAAAAAAAATTTTTTTTTAAATTCTTTATTTCATTTAATTGATTGGTTGATCTGACAAGATCATAAGTTTTACTGATATAATATTGATCAGTAGGATAGATATACTTATATCATAATATCAATCATTTGACTAATCATATTTTGTATTATCACATCAGCTTTTTCTCTAAAAATATTCAAATTTATCATATTAACTATTATATTTAAAAGTTTATATTACCAAATATTTAGTATAAAAGTTATAAAAGTTATATAATATTAGAATATGAAATAAAAGTTATTATTGAACTAAAATTTTTAATTAGTATCAATCATATCGATTTTTATATTAATCAGATTTTGAAATTTTAGACAATATCACAGATATTTGAGCAAAACTTAAAAATTTAGAATATATTCTTTAACTATTTAAGAATTTATAGCCAAAATAAGTTAGCAAAATAATGATAAATCTGAAGTTATTATTAAATAGAAGTAATAAATTTTTTTTATAAATAATATTTATGATAAATATTGCTTCTAGTAAATCATATTTAATAATGATAATGATTCAAATTTAATATTATCTTTATTTATATTAAAATAAATTCATATACAAAATTTTAGTATATATTATTATATAAAATTTTTCAATTTAAAATAATTTATATATATAATACATTGTTAAAAGCACTTTCATTATGAGAAAATGATTAGTAAATATTAATAAAATGATTAATAAATTATGATAATATAAAGTAATATAGGATACTTAGGATTTATCAGATTTACATGATTTTCATCCTATTATATTGACCTTACTTGATCTGAATTTTTCAGATTGAATTAGGTTAAGTTACAAGTTGATCTGACCAGATTTAAAGCTTTAATTTTATTAGTAGCTGATAATTCCAAAGCTAAAAATTATTAATAATATGTGAGATTTGCTAGAAAAATAACTCTAAAAATTTTTATTAAAATTTTAATTTTTATTGCATTTTAAATTTTGATAATGTTAGAATAAAATGCAATAAATATTAAAATTTTAATAAAAAATGCTCAGAATTTTATTTTTCTAGCAAATCTCTTATATATTATCAAATACTAAGTAATCCATATTATGTGATTTATAAGTTATATGTAATTTAAGATCTCTCATTACCTTTACTTCTAAAATATTAGTTAATATATATCATCACTCTTATTAAAACATTATTTCTGATTCTTTACTATTTGGTAAAATATAAGAAATTTCTGTAATCTTAATTGATTATGCAAGAATAAATAGATTCATTAATATCATATCAAAAAGTAAAGATGTGATTTTCTAAATTTGATAATGAAATTAAATAGATATAATCTTTTTTCTTCTTTATTACAAAAGTAAATTTCTGAAATACATTGTAATTGGTTTGTTGAATGTTTAATAATAATCACTTTGATGAATAAATCTTATTTGTTGAAAAGTAAGTTGATAACAAATGAAGTATTTTGCTATAGTAAAGTTCAAATTTTTTAAGAGAAAAAACCATGAAAGGAAGGTTTTGATTTGTCAAAAACTTGTATAGATGATATATTTTGTATTGAGAAATTTTCTGACACATCATAACTTTTGTTAATATTGATAAAAATATTGTTCTTTTCTGAAGTATCTTTTAAAATATCTTTTTCTTTACTTTTTATCAAAGATGATAGATCAACTTTCATCTTCATAACTGGAGTTAACATCTTAAAAGTATTTTTGGTAATAAAATATCTCGTGTTTAGTTAGTATTTTGTTTTTTATTGATTTGAAATGGCAAAGTAAAATATTATCTTTGTTTGTTTTTTGCTTTCTATTTTTTAGCATATTGTATGTAAAGAGAGTTTTAGTATCACTTTATTAATTTTTTATTTTATTTTAAAGTGCAGTAATTTTGCATAATCTTTATTGAATATAATATAAAAAAAAAATATGCAAAAATTCAGAAAATACAAAAATTTCTATCTACAATAATAAAAATACTAAAATAGATCAAAACCAACTTGCATTTCCTTAGATTTAAACGCAAAACAACTTATATCATCACTTCCAGTAAAATAACCAGAAAAAAGGAAAGTGCTTAACCTCTACTACACCAAAAATTTAACCAATGGAATCGATCCTAAGCGGACCATTCTATCTATAAAGATAGATAAATTGTCAAGATTACTGAATAGCAAAAATGATATCAAGAAGCTACAATATAAGAATTTTTCTGTTCATCAGATAAATTTTTTGTGATCTCAAAGTTTTGAATAAAATACATTGATCAGTACGAATGCAAATTATTCTTAATAAGAATACTTTGGAATGCAGTACAAGACTGGACAAGTGTATTAACGGTTGTTATGAAAGATTTGAGACAGTTTTGACGCATTTCATTAATATTTCTCAAACCATTGGTTGGTTCAATGTCTTCTTCAATTGCATCAGCATTGAGGTTTTTAATATCAGCTTCAAGGAAGTGTGATGACTTTGATGTTCAAAGATTTTTCCATATACTCAACAAGTTTAACAGTGAAAGCTAAGGTATTCATCAAGAGGGTCATGTATGTTCTTTGATATAGTTAGCGACGATTGAAACATTACGAAATCCAAGCCGCATCAATTTCATCCATAACATTTATGAGTGTAGATTTGAAATGGTGCAGAGCAAATACTAAAGCCAAAGAACTAAGTGTCTGTATTTTGATAAAATAATTTATTCGTTACATATCAAGTATAATTAAAATTGAAAACATTGGAGAACATACAAAATACCTTTTCTCCACCAGATAAATTCGAAATATTTTTCCAACTCTTTTTCGGCGGCATAACACAAAATAACACCTTCAGAAAAGGGATCCATGCTATCACAACATTCAAGCTCGGCATTCTCCCAAGAGCAATCATCTAAAAACAACCACTGTTTTTGAGAGATTAAATTGAATCCATGAATGAAATGCCTTCGGAAAAAGGATCCAAGCTGTCGCACATTCAAACTCGGCATTTCTTCCAAGGGCAATCATCTAAAAACAACCACTGTTTAAATTTTATATAACATATGTTGAGATAAAAAATGTCATAGGTACCTGATACATTCTTTGAGAGATTAAATATGAATCGTCCTCCCTATAAAAAATTTTCGTTCAAATATTTCCATTATTTCTCCGTGGCTTAACTAAAAAAGTACATAGTTTATTAGTCATAAAAAAGATCAACTTAATTTTAAAAGAATAATGATAAATATAAATATAAACCTCACTCTAATCCGATTAATAATTTTAATAATTTCGATTTTTTCATCAAGTTTTTCCTTGATTTCATCTAATTCTTTTTTACTTACCATTTCTAAATATTTAGAAACAATGTAAATAAGAATTTATAATAAAAAAAATTCAGATATAATAAATCATAAATACAGATTTGGCTTCATCGGCTTTAATGCAAATGGAACGTGCGACAATAGCTTTCTGTTGAATATCTTTTGTAAAATTTTCTATCTTTAATTCTCGTTCATTTTTTGCTAAGAACTTTCGAATTTATTCATTTCCATTTCCGCCCTTGATCTGGCCACTTGCGACTTGGTAATTCGCTCATTTATTAAAAATATTTGATCTTTAACATAATCTACTTTAGACTTTTTGAGCTCGAAGTTTATCACTCCCAATTTCCAAAATCTTATCTTGCAAAATCTTAATCTCTTCTTCAATTTTAGAAGGTTGACGTTTCAATCTATCCAATTCGTGTAAGATGATCAATTTGTGTTCGAAGTTGTCCCATACGCCTGGTATCATCTATATTTAAATTATCATTTTTCCTTAAAAAAAATTTGATTTTTATTAACCTTTACCAAGAATTTATTGGTGAAAAAGTTCTAAACATACCGTAACTCGACTATTCTCTTTCATTATCGGTAATACTTTTACGCAAGCATCAGCATACATCTCTAACTTTGATAGTTCAAACTATAATTTAGGAAGTTCATCCTTTTTCATGTCGGAAGAAAATGTTGAATTCATATTCATGGCACCTTTCAACACTTGGGTACTTCCGCCACTCATAGTGCAAGATTTGTCAATCAATTCGCCATCTAAAGTCACTACGCGTCATCGAGTTTTACCAAATGCTATCCTATTCGTTTCACGGCTACCAAAATATTTTGTAACACACTATAAAATGCTGGGATAAACTTATCACCTTTCGGCTTAACAAGATCAAAAAGACGGGGAACATTTTCAGGTGTTTGTATCGGGCGCATATCCACGGTAGATAGTTATTCAAAGAATGAATATGACGCGACCTAAATTGCTCTTTCTAAGATGTTCTACACAAGTTTGTCCAAGTTCAATAGAATCAACCACGATGTTGTTCAATGCAGGACAGGCAGTTGAAATCGCGACATCGTATTTATTATCAATGACACCAAGGCCCAAACGATCCTAATTAAAAAATTAAAATAAATAAGATTTCAGCAAAGCAATTACAATTTATAGAACACTCCGCTCCGGCAAACTTACGTATAATCCGCTTATACAATCATTATCTTAGAGATTTATCAA